CTAAAATGTTTCAAATGATTCTAATGAAGGTGTGGAGTTTAAATACACAGTGGTGTTCACCCTGTATTACCACATGACATCACAAGGTTTGATTTTGAGCATTTTGAGCTTTGAAAATGTAGACAGATTTCTGAAACGAATTTCTGAATGAAACAAGAGCTCAGCCTAAATGTGCAGAGTTTGTGTGTTTAACAAGTGGGAATGAAACAAAAGTCCAGGAAACGACGTTAGAACACAGAACAGAACAAATGAAGCTCAGGACAGAATTCTTTGGTACAATCTGGATTTTAACTGTCACAGTGCAGATGTTCTGACAAGCATTAGGACTGCAATTAGACTTATTTACATTTTAAGCCTGTCCAGAATAAGTGACAAAAAGACGTCTTTGTACAGACCTAAACTACAGAGTTAGCACATATTTTGTTGTTGAAATTATGGTACTTAAAAATGTGCAGCCTTTGCGATTTGCTAATTGTGATTTAGATTTAATTGCATTTAATCTTGCAATTAACAATCTTGTTTAATAAGAAAGAGTAAATTGGTGGGAGCAGTTAAATGCCTTCTTATTAGAGCGCGGCCCGTGTTCAGACAGGAGTCCAGCCTGCTCTCCCCCCGGGGCTAATGGGCAGTTTGGCCTCAGACTGATGGAGCCATTATCCGGAGGGTTCACACAGAGACCGGCTCGGAGCATCTGACATGAAGGCCCAGACACAAGTCGTGAGGCGTGGGGGCTGAAAACGGCAGCGCTTCGAGTCAATAACGCGTCACTAAACGTCGCTTATGGAGGAGGCCAGTTACAGCTGAGCAGGAGACGCGCGTGTGTGTGTCCGATATGAAGAAGGAGCAGAAAAACTCTCCTATATGACCACAAGTGAGACCATGTTCTGAAATACTTGGGATTTTTGCTTTAGATTAACTGAAGGACATATCCTGTAATCAGTGTTGGGGAGTAACAGATTACATGTACTGGCGTTACATAATCAGAGTACAAATTATGAGTAACTGTATTCAGTTTCAGTTACTGTTTCAGTGAGTGGTAATTGGATTACAGTTACTTGAAATAAATGGATTACATGGCGGTATGTTCCTGTTTTCACATTTTGGACTAAACCAGGTCAAAACCAGGGCTAAACTAGGACTAAACCAGGTCAAAACTAGGACTAAACCAGATCTAAACCAGGTCTAAACCAGGACTAAACCTCAAAACCAGGTCTAAACCAGGGACTAAACCAGGACTAAACCAGGACTAAACCAGGTCTAAACCAGGTCTAAAAAAACCAGGACTAAACCAGGACTAAACCAGGACAAAACCAGGAGGACTAAACCAGGTCTAAACCAGGTACTAAAACCAGGACTAAACCAGGACTTCAAAACTAGGACTAAAACCAGGACTAGGTCAAAAACTAGGACTAAACCAGGTCTAAACCCAGGACTAAACCAGGACCTAAACTAAAACCAGGACTAAACCAGGACTAAACCAGGTCTAAACCAGGACTAAACCAGGACTAAACCGGGTCTAAACCAGGTCTAAAACAGGACTAAATCATGCTGCGCGGACCGTGTCTCCTCCTTTTCTATCAATAATATTTTTAATTAGGTTGAGTAAAGTAGAGTCTTTGCTTCTCTACAGCAAGTCAAGTAATCCAAAGTATTCAGATTACGTTACTCACTTTAAGTAATTTAATGGATTACGTTACAAACTACATTTTGGGGTATGTAATCTGTAATCTGTAGGGGAATACATTTTAAAAGTAACCCTCCCAACACTGCTTGTAACTTTTTGGTTACAAATCCATCACCCGCTTGTTTCTATGGAGATGTCACTGCTCTGGCTGAAATGTTCCAGAGTCTAACATTAAACAGCTCAACCTTACATTTATTCAACTACAGGTGGTTTTATAGCTCAAAAATAGAGATAAAAAACAGGCATCGTGACTGTGGGCGGGGTCACCTCTCCACAGATCCATACTGTGAAACACTCCAGATGAAGCAATAACACCTCCATGGAGAAAAGCATCTGACCCTCCTCCAGAAAAGTTACAGAATGCACCTTTAAGAGAGGAGATACAGCATTTGAGTGAAAATAAAAACACTTGCTCTATGCTGTGTCTTCACTCTTTGTAGAGAAAGAGTGAACATGAACATTTGGATCAGACTGTATGAATAAATCCTGTGCATGTGTCATCCAGTAACCATGTCCAATCCTGTAATAGAATGTGAATCATACCTGAAACATTTATTGTTTATTTTGCCCATATGCAGCTCTGTGCATCTCCAGTCAGAGCCACTTACTGTACAGAATAGTTTAATACACAGAAGTCACATCAGCTGATTTCTATTCTTGTCCATAGGCTGTGGCACAGTCATACACACACACTCTATTTTATTTATTTATTTTAGCCTTTTATATTTTTGCTCTACTTGTTCGATGTTGTATTCTTTTTAAAGATCCTACTTTACACAAAATTGACTCTTGTGAGCTTATAGCCATGTTATAATACCTCCTCAAAAACAGACCTTGAGTTGTGTTTTGTTTCATTCACATCTTTGAGTAATCCTATATTATTAATCTGTCTACATCTCCAAAGCTCAAAATGCTTGTTTTCCATTTTACTCAGCCTGTATATGCAGAGTTCATGGGAATTAAAGAAAACACAACTCCAGATTATATAATATGATATAATATAATAACAGAAAATAGAAGAACATATCATAATTTGGGCCTTGTAAGAGTTATTTATCTTCTCTGATCATTAGTTTTTTCTCATAATAATTCATAACACCATAATGACAGAAGTGTACTTTAGTTAGGGAATGTACAAAATAAAGTCTAGTTTGAGGTCATTTAGAAGAATGAATGAGGAAAACCACAGTATCTGAAGAAACCCACCTAAACACAAGGAGAACATGCATACTCCACACGGGAAGGACCGTCATCTGAGAATAAAATCACAAACCTCACTGCTGAGAAGAAAGTTTAGTCAAAAAGAACACGTCTGAAGATGAAACACAAAAGCTTCAGTAGAGCTGTTTGAGATCTGAGCAGGAGCATCTGTTCAGTCCCAGACAGACCAGGGGTTTGTGGATGGATGCTCTGTCTCTCTCACAAACACACACACACAATCACACACACACACCACACACACACACACACCACACCATCGCGCACGCGCGCACACACATACACACACACACACACAAAAACGCTTACTCTCCTCAGTGAAGCAGACAAACGCCTCTCCACACGTTCTTCCTTCACTCTTTCTCTCCCCCGCTCTCTCACACTTTTACTCATCACTGAAACAGGAAAACTCCTCTCCACACATCCTCCCATCACACTCCTTCTTACTCTTTGTCTCTCTTTCTCTTTCCCTCCCATCTCTTTCTCTCCCCCTCATTGCTCCCTCCCTCTCTCTCTGTCTCTCTTGTTCCTCTCTAGCTCTCTGCCCCCTCCAACTCTCTGTCCCCCCTCTCTCTACTCTTCCTCCTTCCTTCTCTCTATCCTTCCTCCTTTGCTCTCCCTCTCCTTCCCTTCCCCCCATGGGCCTCATCTGTTAAAGCCTGTGTTTGTCTGCAGTTGTCCGTCATGTTTCAGACCAGTGGAGCAGGCCCAGCTCCGGCCCCAGAGACAGGTGCAAAAAGATCCTGACAAAAACCACACACCTGGAAAACAGCATTAGTCACAGAGCTCCAGTGCCCTCTGCGAGACTTTCAGAGGAGTCACTCTTTTCCTTTTAACACAGGAGACAATGGTTGACAGCAGCTTGAAAGGTCCTTTATTACACAAAATGGACTCTAGTGAGCTTTAAGCCATGTTATAATGTTGTTTTTCCCTGAAAAACACACCTGGATTAGTGTTTTGTTTCATTCAATCCTCTATTATTAGTCCATCTACATCTGGTTTTTCAAGTTCAAACAACCTTTACCTTTAGTCCAGGAGAGGTTGGTAATTCTAGGAATTAAATTATCCAAATTATTCTAGTGAAGGTGTGTGGAGCTTAAAAACACAGTGAAGCACTTTCTGTATTACCACATGACATCACAAAGTGGGACAGAGTGTTTTCTGTTTGAGAGAAGAAGTTAGCCTAAATGTGCAGGGTCTGTGTGTTAAATAAGTGAATGAAACAAAACACAAGTCCAGGTGTGGTTTAGTTGTAGAAACAACACACATAAGAACATAGTGTAATATAGTCCCTTTAAAAGATAAAATAATAGGCTACAGGACACATTTGAATCAATGAATGCTCTTTTGAAGTTAGAATATTATTACAATAAAGTGGAAAAGGTAAACTCTCATTTCTTTCTGTTCATTGTCACTCTGATTCCCCACATCAGGTCTGGTGGTTTACAGGTCATTTCATTTCCTCTCAAACTTCCACAGATCAGGTGAGAATGTGCTTCTGCTGCATGTGAACATGGACAGTGTTCATACATGAACTGTGTTTGTGCATCGGCTTTACACTGTTGTTTAGGCCTAGACAGATCCTGAAAATCCCTGTGACTCTACCAACCGCTCCCAGATGAACAGAATAAAACACAAGGCTGCGTGCACAAACACGCTGCAAACCGCATGAGAAGTTACACTGGAATTAAGGATGGATTAGATTCAAACTAAATGGGCATTTTCAGCACATTATATTTTCAAACAATGTTATTGACAAACACTATAACTTAATGAAACAACGAAAACCTCTTTTACTGCTGCACTAAATACAAGCGTAAAAAAAACAACAACACAGATTTCTGAAACTTGAAGCGGCGCATCGCTGCATCTCCAGCTCTGTCCTTTCACCCCTCAGTCTGACACCTCTGACCCGCAGCTAACAATCACAGCCTCTTTCAAAACTCTAAAACTCCAAAACTCAAACCAGTCAAGCACCAAGCAAAAACTTAATAACCGCAACACGATCACACACATAAAATATACCATGCATGACTCTCTTATCCCGCTGCACAACGCAGAAATATGGAGAAAATAACAAAAGCTAACACACGCTTACCTCCAACGTGCGCCACTCGCTTCCTGTTATGGTTCTACGTCACTGATGACGCGGTTCCGCTGGGTCCTAAACTCCGCCCACACTTGTTTATTTCTTTTCACAGACGAGCACGTTCAAAATGTTAATAATAATAATAATAATAATAATAATAATAATAATAATAATAAATAAATACTACTACTACTACTACTAATAATAATAATAATAATAATCGACTTTTAAAAATGTTGTATTTTCTTTTTATCATATCTAGACATTGCATGAGAGTCTGACTGCAGATCTGCTCCCAGAGGACTGTACTGCACAGACTTCCACCAGGATGTTCCTCCACCCACATGTCCCTCAACATTTACATGACTTCACAATATAAACCATGTAATTACTTAATGAAACTTTCTATCAGCTGGTGCCTTAGTCTCATTAAACGTGATAAAACTAATTTCAAATGGTTAGAGAAAAGCAATTCAAAGACATTTAACAGATTTCATTTTTAGTTTGAAATGAAATTGGCCCATGTAATTAGCAGCTGAAGACAAGGCAAGTTTATTTGTATAGTACAGTTCATACACAAAGTAATTCAAAGTGCTTTACAGAATAAGAAATACATTAAAATGACAATACAAACAAATCAAAACATAGATAATCATCATAAAATTAAAAAAAGAGAGAGAGAGACATTAAATGAGAGAGAAGAGTGCGGAATAAAAAATGAAAACCTTTCAGTCACATGCAGCAAAACAGAACTGTTTTGAGTCTGGATTTAAACAGAGTCTCAGTTGAGTCTGTCTCACATCTTCAAGAAGACTGTTCCAGGTTTTAGCTGCGTGAATCTGAAAAGTTGACTCCAGGTGTTTAGTCCTGAATCTGGGCACCAGCAGGAGGCCGGTCCCTGAGCTCCTGAGAGTGTGAGATGGTTCATATGACACTAACATGTCACAGATGGACTTTGGTGCTCGGCCATAGAGAGACTTGTACAAGCAGAGCTGCTTTAAACTCTATTCTCTGAGCCACAGGAGCCAGTGCAGAGATCTGAGACCAGGACGCATGTGCTCTGACTTCCTGGTTCAAGTCAGGACCCCAGCTGCAGCGTTCTGGATGTACACCAGCGTCTCACAGCTCATTTGGAGAGGCCACTGAGAGGCTGTTACAGTAGTCTAACCTACTCGAGACAAACACATAGATAAGTCTCTGTCTATTTTTTAGAAACTCTACCTTTGAATTTTGCTCTGTTTTTAGATGGTAAAAGGCTGTGGATGTTCTTGATTTGATGTAACTGTAAAGGTGAAAGCTGAAGGTCCTTAGATTCTTATGAACGTTTCCCTGAAAAACAGACCTGGAGTTGTGATTTGTTTCATTAACATGTTTGAATCATCCTTTATTATTAGTCTGTCTACATCTCTAAAGCTCAAATGCACGTTGTCACAAATAAAACAACAACAAAACTGATATTTACCTATGAGCATAGGCCTGCAGAGACCAGGCCTGGCTCTTCTGGGTGCAGGTCTGCAGTAGTCCAGATCGCTCTCTCTCCTTTGCCATAATTTAATAAATAGGCCTTTAACTAAAAATAGCCTGTTGTTTTTCTGCTCTCTTTTTAATGAACAGGCCCAACAGTTCTGCTAATTCTCCTACATTTATTTCTACATTTTCATTTTGGTTAAAATTTTTTAGTCTAAAACCACTTCCACTTCTAGTTCGATTAAATTTCACAGCAGTGTTTGATTTAACCATCGAAAAGTAGTCTACCAAAAGCTTTTAACCAATCAAAACAGGCCTATCCACTCAATTACTTTGTATTACTACCACAGTACACCATGTTCTACCAAAACAGATTTTATTTCAGCTTGTAGCATATTTCTTTATAGATAACCACCCGGGCTTTTCCTTTTGGGCTTAATTAGAGGAGCTGTAGTAGTTGTGATGTGAGCAGGCTGCAGACCGGCCTTTCAGGACATGGACAATTGCACAAAGAAACTACAGTAAAAACCCTCATAGAGAAGAAGTGTGGTTTGATGATTTGAGTTCAGTCTGAAGAACAATACAAACATCTGACTGGGACTTTATCACAAAAACACAGAAATGTGAGGGGATTATAGCAGGGCAATTCTGTTTGAACAGAGCTAATTAGAAAAATATTCATAATTAGGGTTTATTTGGTAAAGAACGGGAATTTTTGGGACCTTTGTTGAAACTATATTGTGAATTCTTTTAAAGACGTTGTAATAAGTTGTTGATGATTTTCAGGTTTTAGAATGTGAGCCAGTTTTCTCTGTTGATTACACATCCACATAAGAAATATCTAAAAAACAAATAACTAGTTTCCTCAGTTTGAGGATGATGAGTGCTCTACAATTTAAAACATCTTTTGAATGGGAAACAAATCCTCAAAATGTTGCATAAAACATGAAGCTGAAACTCTGTCCCCATCTATAATAAATATGGCTGGCCTATAGAATGTTGTGTTGTCATCTGAACCATTGACTGTATACATAAATGGACGTAACTAATGCGGTAGCCACTAAGTTCCAAACAGGAAGTGAGCATGGACACTCTTCTGGCTCCATTAACTCTGGTTCCAAATCACATAAAAAACTGTTGCCCCTCTTTCTGTAACTGTTGCAGTGAACCTCATCATTTTGGTTTTAAAATGTTCTATTAAGCCTCTCTACATGATCCTGGTGTTTTTATTTTGCTGTTTTATCCATAAATAAATTCCTATTCCTAACAAGAAATTTGGCTCCAACTTTGCCCTTATAGCTGCTAGCCTCGGTGAGGTTCATTTGACTGAAGCTGAATGCTGTGGGTGATGTAACACTTCCTTAGTCCACTTATACACTCTGTGACCTCTTTCTATTAGTGGAGCTCAACCAAAATAATTCACTTTTATGGTACAAGCATGAAATTTTGCCAGATTACCAACATGGCCAGGACTAATATTTCTGAATATGGAACCAAGTCTGATTTAACTCTAAAGCTGAGAACTGCACTGTCACAAAACAGACTACATGAAACGAGGCTGGCTTTTTTTTTTTTTACTAAACTCCAAAGCATTAAGGAGGTCATGTGACCATTTTCCTCGATAATGTAAGGGTTGTGTGGGTTCCAACCTGGAACCAACCTGTGCACTGCTTGGATTGATTACAAGAAAGTCTCTGACTCAATGCCACACACATGGATCACTGAGTTGCGGCTGTACAATATCAACAGGACTCTAAGGGCCTTCATTGCAAACTCGATGCAGTTGTGGAAAACCACCCTTGAAGCCAATGGGAAGCCACTTGCACAAGTGTCCATCAAATGGGGTCTGAACGCCCTCAGTCAAATCATCAACTGCACTGGCTGTGAATACCGACTCAGAAATGGGGCCACCATCAGTCACCTCCTCTGCATGGATGACTTCAAGCTGTATGCTAAGAGCGAGACATCGACTCACTGATCCACACCACCAGGATCTACAGCACAGACACTGGGATGTCATTTGAGAAATGTAGTAGGATGGTGACAAAGAGAGGGAAGGTAGTCCACACAGAGGGGGTGTCACTCCCAGAGGGAACAATAGCAGACGTTGAGGACAGTTACAAGTACCTCGGTATCCCACAAGCAAATGGCTCCTCGAAGAGGCAACAAGGAAAGCGGCTACAGCAAAATACATGCAAAGAGTGAGGCAAGTCCTTAGAAGCAGCTCAATGGCAAGAACAAGGTGCAGGCAATAAACAGCTACGCCCTGCCAGTGATCAGATACCCTGCAGGAATCATGCACTGGCCAAAGGAGGAGATACAGACCACAGATGTTAAGACACGAAAGCTTCTGACCATGCATGGAGGGTTCCATCCCAAATCCAGCACCCTGAGACTGTACAAAAGCCGGAAGGAAGGAGGCCGAGGACTAGTGAGTGTGGGAACCACTGTCCAGGATGAAACATCCAAGCTCCTTGAGTACATCAAGGACAAGGCCCCGACAGATGAGGTGCTCAGAGAATGTCTCAGACAGTGGAGTCCAGAGGAAGAGGTGCTGGAGGGACCATCATGGCAGGACAAACCCCTACATGGGGTGAACCACCAGAACAGAACTGAAGTGGCTGATATCAAGAAATCCTACCAATGTCTTGAGAGAGCTGGTCTGAAGGACACACAGAGGCACTGATCCTGGCTGCTCAGGAGCAGGCTTGGGCACTCGAGCAATAGGGGCCCAGATCTACCACACTATATATATATATATATATATATATATATATATATATATATATATATATATATATATATATATATATATATATATATATATATATATATATATATATATATATATATATATATATATATATATATATATATATACATATATATACAAACACACACACACACACACACACATATATATATATATATATATATATATATAAAATATATACAATATGTCAATTAGTTTTCAAAAGATGCTAGCTGAATGTATGAATGTGAAATTTGTAGCATCTGTGCCAGGCAAATAAAAATGACAATAATAAATATTAAAATAAAAAATACAAAATCTAAAAAACAACCAAACAACAACAAAAAAATAAACCCTCTTAAACACTTAAGGCTTTCTCCATGGAGATGTTATTGCTGAGAAAGGCCTTGGTTCGGAGAAAACCAAATTCATTTCTAGATAGTACATTTAATGACCTTGTGGTACTAAAATTACTTATTATTAAATCACTTGACTTCCATTGTCCACACTGAAACTCATTATGTGTATTGTCCAGGTGTAGTACTTGTTACAATCTTAAATGGCTTTTTAAAAATACTTATTTCAAAATATGATTCTAAAGAATGAATAAAATAAGTTAAATTAATAGTTAATAGTTTTACATGATTCCATTTAGTAACGACTGTAGTATATTTGCACTATATGTATTTTGTGTTAATGTATGTCTTTATAAGATTCAATTAAAACGAATATATTTTTTATACATATTTTTGCTTGAAAAACTTACTTAAATAAGAATCCATTGTCCAAATGTATTTAGATGTATTGTTATAATCT